GTTCTTGGCATCTCCAGTTTAAAATTACTTAGGGGGCAGGGAAGGGAAAGCCTAAGCACCTGGAGAACTTCTCCCCGACAGAGTAGATGATACAAGACTAAATGGAGCATTGGTCTAACTCTGTATAAAGGTCACAAGCCAAGTTCCAAGGTGTGTTCTGGTCACTCCTCTGATTGTAGGTCAGATTATGTGGGTATTTTGAGTGGGTGTTTTTGAGGGTGTTGTTTAAGGCGGCATTTCAGCAGAATTTAGCTTATAGCAACTGGGGCAGCTCAAATATTTGGTTGCATGCCCTTGCCAGTTCCATTGATCCATATTTCCCCAGTACTTAACCCCTGGTGTGCTATACATGCTGATCAAGAAAGTCCCTGTGAAGGTCACATAACTTAACAGTTTATGTGATACTGAGGCACAGTGAGGCAGGGTTAGGGGATAAACATGCCCTATGATACCTTTTCTGTGCTTTAAATACTTAAAAAATGAAGGCAAAGCCCACTGATCCACCCACCCCAGCAAATTTTTCGAGCCCCTCAAGACCTTGCTGGGGTGTACAAAGCCCAAAACTCTGAAGGGAATGTCAACTGCTCACTCCTCAGTCATCATTTGATGAGCAAAAGGCAGCATTGGCCATGCACCAGCTGAGCAGAGGGCCTGTGTGTGAGAATATGCACGAGATAGTATGGGGTGACCACATCTGTCTCTTGTAATAATGAGAGTGTTTAAGCAATTCGTTTGAACTATTTACAAAACTAGTGACCTATTTATAAATTTGAAATGTCCATATTTGCAGGCGTTTTGCACTGTTACAAGTGGCACTATATTTTCCACTCACTTTTGGTATAAACATAGCGTACCCACAAACACTTCAAGTAACAAAACTTAAGGCTTGACAAATGTGATTTATTTTGAGTACAGGATAAGTAGGAAAAAGGTGTCATTCATACAAATAATATATTTTGTAATACTGACCATTGAATAGCAGAATGTTCTTTTGGCAGTCAATCATTCAATTACGCATTCAACAAGCAGAAGCATGAAAACACACCAAAGTTCCTGTTTGTCATAGTTGGATTAAGGATGTTCTCAGGGAGACAGAATTACTTGTTCTAGCTAATCCTGATATATCTTTGTGCTTTCCTGAAACTGCTCATAATAGCAGTACAATAATTTCTTCCAAAACGGTGTCACTATATATATATATATATATATATATATATATATATATATATATATATTCAGAACTTTTTAAAGGACAGAATTGGCTTTCTTCCTACATCAAGTGAAAGGCACATTTTAAATAGTAACAAAGTAGTGGCAGAACTCAACTATAGTTTCTCCACAATTTATTCACATAGGCAGCTCTTATGTGGTATGCCCAGTTCTATTGCCACCAAATTAATAAAAACCAAGAATATTATAGAACATTAAAGACTAACAGACTTTATCATACCACAGGTTTTCACGGACTAGAGTCCATTTCATCAGAGGCATGGAACTGTGTGCATCTGAAGCACACTCTAGTCCACCAAAACTTATACCGAGTGTGGTGATCAAAACTGTTACCGAGCAATTTGATGGCATTTACATCTTAACAAAGGGAAATGCATATTAAATATATTATTTTTAGAGCTTCAAGTCCCATTAAACCCTGGTAAGGATTATGTAAGGCAGTCAGGGTTTTGCACAGCATGTTCAAGAGTGGCGGTTTGCAGACTTAACATGGCTAAACTGTGTTTAGTGTGCTGTGTAAGAGCAAATGAGAAAAACTCTCCTGTATCAGACTAAAGGCTTATGTAGCCCTGCATGTCCCACTGTTCCCCCACAAATGGTATTCAGAGGGGGCAGGCTGCCTCTGATTATGGAAGTGAGTGAGCCTTGAGGTTTGCTCTCCTTCTCTGGAAGGAAATTGGAAGCATTCAGTATTGTTTTCAACTAACCATGGTCTGTTGTTAAATTTAGACTGGGGACAAACTGTGGTTGGTTTTTAACTATGGGTTTGTCTAAACATGCCAACTTCAAACCATGATTTATCTGAAATAACCAGGTTTGTAAATGCGTAGCTAAAAACTAACTGCAGTAAGTTGAGGGGTAAAGTAATTAGGGGAAATAATTGTTACTCGAGTCCTGAGAATAAAACATCTGATAAAGAATCATGATGTTTGAGGTGTGCGCTCTTCTCGCCCCAAAGGAGCAAAAAAAGAGCTGTTTAATCATCAAAATACTAGCCTTTTGCACAATTGTAACTAGATGTATTTGGGTATTATCAGCCTGTACTGACAAAAGAATTCCTGAACTGTGGGTTAAATAAGATGGACTCCCACTATTTAGAAGGTGTGTAATTTACTATAGTTTAATTAAAAACAGATGAGCTTTTAAGCAATGCAAAACAGATACATGACATACAAACATCTAATGATTGGGCAGTGGCTTCTTGGGCTGAGACTTCTTCATGCAAGACTTTAGTATCAAATAAGACAATTCAAGTACATTTAGGAGCATGCAAATGCCTGACACAGCCAGCATGAAAATAGTAAATACAGTTTTCTCAGTGGGACGAGAAATAAAGCAATCTACTGTATTTGGGCAGGGAAAATCAGTGCATTTCACTACACGAGGCATACGGTACCCATCGTACATGTGATAAAATATGTACATGAAAGTCGCTTCGAAGATAATTCGGAAGAAGAGGCTGCTGGTGTATGTCCACCATAAGGGTCCTTCGATGTGGAACTTCTGGGTTTTCAGACTTTCAAGGTCAATTTTCTCCCCATGTCGGTATTTCCGTTTCTTCTCGTGCCTTCTGTAGGCAACATGCATTGCCACCAGAAGGGCAGGGGTAGACACAAAGATAAGCTGGAGAGCCCAAAGTCTAATATGAGAAACTGGGAAATAATCATCATAGCAGGTATTTTTGCACCCAGGTTGTAGAGTGTTACAAGTGAAATCCGACTGTTCGTCTCCCCAGACGTTTTCTGCAGCCACCACAAGGATCATGACACGGAAAATGAAGAGGACAGTGAGCCATATCTTCCCAATGCTGGTTGAGTGTTTGTTTACACCTCCTAAAATGGATTGGAGGGTTCCCCACATGGTGGCTTGTCTGTTCTTTAACCTATTAAGACAAAGAAAAAAGAAAAAGCCAAATGATTAATTATTCTATTCCTTCACAAATGAGGAAGTTCTCTGCTGCTAGTACAGAAAAGTTGTAAGCAGACGGGCAGAACAATTCTGAGATGTTTTGGCTTCTTTCTCTCCCACCCATTCTGGAAAATGAATGTTAAAACTTGATATACATCTATCCATCAAAGGAGCACAGTGACATTAAAACACTGACATAATTAAAGGGGTGGTTAAACCAGAGTTCCTTATGCAGAGACTTCTTTTGGCATGGGACTACGTTTGATGATACACAGTGAGTTTATACAACTAGGATTCACATATAAATGAAGCCCATATATTAGCTCCAGCATATTCTTTGTTCTGCCCTTATAGAAATAGCCTTTAAAGGAGGTGCTGTTAAAGGCTGGTTAGGTTATAATTAAACTAAAAACACTGGGCATTTTTTCACTTTTCCAAAATGCCATCCTATGGCAACTTTAGTTTACAAGATGACTTCAGATGTATATTGTACAAGAAAGCCCGCTACTTGTGTGCATTTAACTTGTTGCATGCAGGGGAAGAGAGGGGAAGGGAGTGGGAAACACCTGTGGTCACTGTAACTCATTAAACTAAACTATGGTTTGACATTATATCTGAACTGGGTCAGCAGGGAGAGGTGCAGCTATTTGGCAATGGAAGTTATTGTTATCATTTTTAAAAAAACAATTTGTGGAGATGCTCCATTGTGGGAAACTTACACAAAGGTAATGGAGAAATACGTGTTCCAAGATACTACATTTTAATGGCATGAAAGAATCTTGCTGTAACTGCAATCGCTGTATCATCACTTAAAGGTAAAGGTACCCCTGCCTGTACGGGCCAGTCTTGACAGACTCTAGGGTTGTGCGCCCATCTCACTCAAGAGGCCGAGGGCCAGCGCTGTCCGCAGACACTTCCGGGTCACGTGGCCAGGGTGATAAAGCAGCATCTGGCGAGACTGCGCAGCACACGGAAACGCTGTTTACCTTCCCGCCAGTAAGCGGTCCCTATTTATCTACTTGCACCCGGGGGTGCTTTCGAACTGCTAGGTTGGCAGGCGCTGGGACCGAGCAATGGGAGCGCACCCGCCGCGGGGATTCGAACCACCGACCTTTCGATCGGCAAGCCCTAGGCGCTGAGGCTTTTACCCACAGCGCCACCCGCGTCCCTGTATCATCACTTATCAACCATTAATTACCATTCTCTGCTATTAGCGCAGATCTACACCACAGATGTAAACAGATTTAGTAATCATCCTCCGCCCTCAGAAAACCCAAGAAACTTAAGCTGTGATGGGGAGTAGGGGGTGTCAAGATATGTAACAGTACCGTCAACAAACCTTGATTGCCAAGATTCATTGATGGAAGAACCCCAAGCAGCAGCAGGAGAGGAGTAGCCAGAACAATGGCAAAACAGGTAAAACTTCTGCCACCGGCTCCCTGCTTTGCTTGGCTTTGCTTCCCCCTGAAGGAAGGTGAGAGGTGCCAGTCCATCCGGAAGACCCTGGACCCACTTGCCTTTAATTTGCAGGAAGCAACCTGCCTTCTGGGTGGAGTGAGCACCTTGAACTGGGCCCAGAAATGAACTGGTAACTAGTGGGGGAGTTGACTCCATGTGAATTGTCATTTGGGCTAGGGAAGAGGGTTGAGTTTTTGTCTATCTGCTGATTAGTGGTTGGGAGTATTGCCTTGTTTTTTTGTTTCAATATTGCAAATGGTTTTTTATTGCTATGTAGGGGGGCTGGTTTGTTGTTTTTGTTTTCCCACATGTTGAATGAAATATTAGCATATTATATGATTTCCCCTTTTTTATCGTATGACGTATTTGCACATCTTTTTCTTTAATATTAGTTGCTTGGAGACCTTTGGGTGACAGGCAAGTAATCAGCTAAAATATTTATTAATCTGGGTTTTTTATATTTAAAAAAACACAACCTGATATAATTTTATAGTTAGATATGCCTGTCAAACAACAACTTTGGGTTCATTTCTGGTGACCCTCAATTCTAATTTTTGTTGATATTGCTAATTAAGGTCAAACTCATTTTTAATCTTCATTTTCATTGGAGATGCCTGCATGCTGGTTTTGGCAGTTCACAAATAGAAATAAATCCAAATGTGTGTGTCCAATTATGCAGCTTTCCTATTCTAAGAGTGTGTTGGCATAGTACTATACAAACAAATAATGTGGTTTAGTAAAGCCTTAACAAGCAAGGCCAAGCTGACTTACAAGAAGACAGAACTCCAACATGTTATAACATAACCCTTGACATGGTAGCTTTCATTACACCCACTAACCCTAAGAAAAAGTCGATAGATTTTGCTGATGTAATGAGGAGTTGCAGAATCAAGATGAAAAGATGGATAAAATTACTGGTATTTCTTTTCCTACTAATCACCCTCCTCCCTGTAGGATTTGATTTGAAAGCTGCACAGATTTATTTCTTTAAAATAAATCATTTATATGTTTTCCAATAACCAAGGTCTTGGGTTTTCCTATAACCAAGTTCAATAAGAAACCACACCAAACTCTGTGACCACAAATCAAATACACTTCTGCTAACCATTAAACAAGATGAAGACTTTCACCCCTATTAATTCAATTCAAACAAAGCATTCAACCAAAAGAAAACAGGATAAATATCAAGTGTTTTGCTCTTCTATTATATAGATGAGTGGTTCCTAATTGGTGGTCCGTGGACCCGAGGGAATCTGCACCCCATTCACATAGCAAAAACTACCATAGAGGTATCAGCATTTTCAAAGGAAGGGGGTCCATGTCTTGCCTTTGGAAAAAACAGGGAGTCCACAGGACTTAGCTAACTGGAAACCACTGATATTTTTTGCCAGTATTGCAAAATGTGAACTGACACAACGAATTCCATCTATAGTGTAAGCCTAATGTGTAACTGATGTAGACTCTTAAGGTTGCATTCAACTGAGACAAGACTAAGTTGGGTAGACCCATTGAAAATAATGAGCCTATGTTAATCATGCCCATTAATTTGAATGGCTCTGCTTTGAGTAGGGCTAACATTGGATAGAACTCTTGCCTATGAAGATTAAGGTTGCAATCCTGTATAAATTCACATGAGATTAACATCATTGAGCTCGATTGCTTTTTAGTGAAATGCATAGGATTGCATTGTAAAGCAGCAGTCCTGCACATACTGGAAAATACTCATTTGACAGACACGGTCCTATGTATGTCTACTCAGAAGATACCTTTGAGTAAATCATTTTCTCAATTCATCTACTATTCTAGAAACCTCAAGGTAAAAGGTTAGGTATATTAATATTAATACTACTAATGAATATTGGATCTTAAAGGTGAAAAATTAATCGGGCAACTGCAGCATCCCTCATGCAGAATTCTGCATCTTACATGGATCAGTGTGAGTGAAGGGGCAAATGGTTATCCAGGACTCCACATCAAATCCATTTCTTCCTCCACTGTATGGAGAGGTTATATTGCAGATATTAAATATGTCATTCTTTCTGCATAAACTGTTAGATATCATTTTGAAATTACATCCCTGTATAAAATACAAATGGTTAGCATATGGAAATCACGGAATGTTTCTCTGCTTGCATCTCTCACCCTTTCTGTCTGCAGCGGTATTATTTCCAACTGGAATAATATGGTGGGAGAAGATAATAGAAGAAAAAACGCATGTAAACATGAGGATAGAATGGCATATGAAATATTAATTAAAATTTCAGCTATGAGGCTTTTTTAAACTGGAGAGATGTTTTATGTGTTTTGATTTCAGGGATCACTTACTTGCCCCAGGAGGAAGAAAAAATGGGCGTTCCTAGTTCCGTGAGAATTTTACAGGCATTTTCATGACTTAATATTAAGGGAAGTTGTTGAAGCATGTTAACGCTTTAGTCACCCAAGAAAGAAATCACAGATTGTATTGAAGAGAGCTATTGAGAAGTAATATATCCCAAACATTCACTGAATAGTGAATGAAAGCAGTTCTTAGTTACTTCAATGTGAAATGATTTCAGTGGGCCACCTCTGAATATGACAAACGTTTGGTTATCACACTTCATATTTAAGGTGCCACAGGATGTCTTGAAAAACTAGTCCTCCTTTTTTGTACAAAGGTCTCTTAGAAGATGAAAATAAGCATCTTACAGGACAAATCCTACCCTTTCCTCACATGTTACGATTGTATCAGAAGACCAAAGCTATTATTTTAAAATCAACATTACAAAAATCCCTGAGTTACATGGCTTGACCATGTTACTAACTTTGTATGATAATGTTTCACCATAATGGTGGGGCTGGACTTCACAGCTGGTTAGTAAAAGACAACATGTGGCTATTAACTCCCAGCTGTAAGTTGTAGACCTTGGCCTTAACATGATGGGTCTTTCAAGAGAAGACCTCTTTTTGCTGGCAGAACCGAAGCACTGGGAACCCAGCGAAGAATCTGGAGTACAGCCAACATCCTGGCAAAAGAAAGATCGTAACATCTTGTGCATCTCACAAAACCGAATGGGGAAAAAAACATGTGTGGAGGGACTTGTTTCCCCAATTTTGTCTGTATTTCTGCTTTATCTCTCACACACAAACAAACGCGCGGAGCGGTCAGACTCCGCATGGTATTCAGCCGCTCCTTTCACTTGAACCCCTCACAGAAATCCTGCAGAGCTGAAAGGGACCTCCAGGGTCATCTAGTCCAACCCCCCGCAATGCAGCAACCCTGCCCACAGCGAGACCGACCCCTTTCATACGTCCTATAAGCCTAGCAAGCCGAATACACCAAAGTCCGGACTCTGCTACCCTGCGAAACGCAACCTTCTGATTTCTCTTTAACGCGCACAGCGTTTTAACCCCATTCCCTCTCCACCCCATGGAAGTGCCAGGCGCGGACATTTCCATTCACTGGAGGCTTCATCTCAACCCAAATCTTCCTTCCCGGCAAGGGGGGAGAAAGCATCGCCCCCTGCAACAGCAGCAGCCCCATCACCTCGCTCAGCTCCGCGCGCGGGAGAAGAAACCGGTCCAGCTGCGTCCCCCCGCGGGGCTCCGTTCCGCTTCCTGGCGAGGTCCAGAGAGCGCCACTTGCTCGTAGGCTGCCTAGTTTCGTCGTCGCCGCCGCCTCGGCAGCTTTGAGGGAGGCTCCTTCCTGTTCTCGGGCAGATGCTCTTTAGCGACGCCTTCGGCAGGCGCGGCTGCAAGGAAAGAGGCGGGAAGAGCCCGTGTGGACAAGGCGGGGGGAGGCGCCACCGTCGAAGAAATGGTTGCGACGCGGCCCCTTCCCGCCCTCCGACGACGCCTCCGCAGCGCTTTCACTTCTTCCCCTTCGCTTCTTGCCAGGGCTCCTGCGTTGGCAACAGCAGCACGGCAGGTAGAAATTCAACATGTCATGGGCTTGTTGTTGTTTAGTCGTTTAGTCGTGTCTGACTCTTCGTGACTCCATGGACCAGAGCACGCCAGGCACTCCTGTCTTCTACTTTGGTCAAACTCATGTTCGTAGGCTTCAAGAACACTGTCCAACCATCTTGTCCTCTGTCGTCCCCTTCTCCTTGTGCCCTCAATCTTTCCCAACATCAGGGTCTTTTCCAGGGAGTCTTCTCTTCTCATGAGGTGGCCAAAGTATTGGAGCCTCAGCTTCACGATCTGTCCTTCCAGTGAGCACTCAGGGCTGATTTCCTTAAGAATGGAGAGGTTTGATCTTCTTGCAGTCCGTGGGACTCTCAAGAGTCTCCTCCAGCACCATAATTCAAAAGCATCAATTCTTCGGTGATCAGCCTTCTTTATGGTCCAGCTCTCACTTCCATACATCCCGACTGGGAAAACCATAGCTTTAACTATACTGTACGGATCTTTGTCGGCAAGGTGATGTCTCCGCTTTTTAAGATGCTGTCTAGGTTTGCCATTCAAATAGTGTTTGTGCGCACCGTGTTATGTGATTGATAATGTGGGGTGGACTTACCTGACACCCCTCCCCTCAATATTTTTATTCACCCTGGGGGGTGTAATAATGGGGAAAGCATCTACTGATGAAATTCCACTGCCTGCCTGTCACAGTGCTATTACAACGGTGGTAAGAGGTGGATTGAGGGGAGCACAACTGGTTTGGGTGCCAAGGATGCCAACTTGAATAAAATATGAGGGGGCAGGTCAGCCCCGCCACACACAATCAATCACATGACGCAGTGCGCACACATCATTTGAATGGCAAACCTAGACAGCATCTTAAAAAGCGGAGACATCACCTTGCCGACAAAGATCCGTACAGTATAGTTAAAGCTATGGTTTTCCCAGTCGGGATGTATGGAAGTGAGAGCTGGACCATAAAGAAGGCTGATCACCGAAGAATTGATGCTTTTGAATTATGGTGCTGGAGGAGACTCTTGAGAGTCCCACGGACTGCAAGAAGATCAAACCTCTCCATTCTTAAGGAAATCAGCCCTGAGTGCTCACTGGAAGGACAGATCGTGAAGCTGAGGCTTCAATACTTTGGCCACCTCATGAGAAGAGAAGACTCCCTGGAAAAGACCCTGATGTTGGGAAAGATGGAGGGCACAAGGAGAAGGGGACGACAGAGGACAAGATGGTTGGACAGTGTTCTTGAACCTACGAACATGAGTTTGACCAAAGTAGAAGACAGGAGTGCCTGGCGTGCTCTGGTCCATGGAGTCACGAAGAGTCAGACACGACTAAACGACTAAACAACAACAAGCCCATGACATGTTGAATTTCTACCTGCCGTGCTGCTGTTGCCAACGCAGGAGCCCTGGCAAGAAGCGAAGGGGAAGAAGTGAAAGCGCTGCGGAGGCGTCGTCGGAGGGCGGGAAGGGGCCGCGTCGCAACCATTTCTTCGACGGTGGCGCCTCCCCCCGCCTTGTCCACACGGGCTCTTCCCGCCTCTTTCCTTGCAGCCGCGCCTGCCGAAGGCGTCGCTAAAGAGCATCTGCCCGAGAACAGGAAGGAGCCTCCCTCAAAGCTGCCGAGGCGGCGGCGACGACGAAACTAGGCAGCCTACGAGCAAGTGGCGCTCTCTGGACCTCGCCAGGAAGCGGAACGGAGCCCCGCGGGGGGACGCAGCTGGACCGGTTTCTTCTCCCGCGCGCGGAGCTGAGCGAGGTGATGGGGCTGCTGCTG